TTTGCATAAGAGTTATTCTCTTTTACGAGTTTTTTCTTTCATCATCAGTACAGCTAAGCCATTTTTACATATGATATTAGTGTATAATATAAACTTTATCTTTATTTCTCGTCGGTTTGATTGCATTGTCTTTTTATTAAGTGTTATTAACTATACTACGTCCTTCTTTATAGTCTATAGCATTTTCTTATCTTTTTCAATATGTTTTATAGTCAAATTTAAAGTTCTGGGCCGTAATTCCCTCACAATTCATGGTATCTTTTGTTTACTTTTAGTCCATCTCTAAAAAAAACAAATTAGTTTTGACCTATTACTCCAATATACCGTAACATATGATAACGATGAACTTCTATTCTATTCTTTTTAAGTTCTTCATATTTTTTTGATAAAAATACCATACGAAATTGATGAATATAGATCTTTTTATGAAACAATTACCAAATTGCCTTATTACTATTTTATATTTTGAATTTTGATGCTAATGCTGAAGACTGGCTCTCTATTTCATATATAAATGAGCCTGTTAAGCACAAAGAATAAAAGGATTATTATTTGTAGCTTATAAAAAATGGTCGATATTATAAAAACAAGAAAAGACTTATTTGAATAAGATCAGACACCAAAACTAAAAATTTATTGATGAAGACAAGAGTTATTCTATTTATACTAAGTTCTGAATGCCAAAGTAGCAATTTATCTTGTACAACGCTTATCACATCTGGTGAACCTCAGTATTTAGATAGCTAAGATGCACTTCACTTATCATAGCTTGTCCATGTTGTTGCACAACACAGACATATCTACCCATCAAGAATACCTTAATCTTTATAGACAGTTGTAGCCCTTCTGGCACAACAGAGCCGAACTTATTACTTTACGGTAGCTAAATTCACCAACAATTGAGTTTTTATCAACTTTTTTTCTTGTAAGTGTGTTGTTTATTCCAACTAAGATCATAGCCATATTCATTAGCATTTTTTTTCTATTTTTCAATGAAAGAGTTATACCCACCATCCACAGCAATACAATTATGAATATCCATATATGGACATAACTCCATGTTTAAAATATTTTACCACTGTCATCCAGAGCACATTTCTTACAATTTGTATATAATATACTCTTATTAAAGTCTATTGCCAAGGGAAAAGAAAATTCCAACCTTCTAACATTATTATTAAGATTGATACATCTATTATTATACTGAAACTAGCAATATAGAATGTTCAATAGTTTGATCGGTTTGATCGATTAAAGCCCCGGGTGGGTTGTTCAGAGATAATATGGATGAATGACTCATAAAACAGACTATATATTATAAAATAAAATGAACTCACGTCAGTAAACGTCGTCCATTTAATTTTTGCTACAATCATCATTATCGCACTTACAGTCACTGCAACACACATATGACAAGAGATCAAATCAAGTGTGAACCAAAATCAATAAAGTATAAATAAAGAATAGGATGGATGACTTATCTCAAGTTTTCTTATTACGAGATATATATATTATTTTCTACTTATTGGGAGATGAATTGTCTAGAGTGGCATTGATATGTATTGTTTATTGAAGATGCGTACTCCTTTATCGGTGAGTGAGGATATGAATCTATCAACTTGACCACGATTACCTTCTCATGCCTATCAATATCGCTTCATGCAACTTCAGTAGCCGGCATGTCCCATGGCTAAACTACAACTACTAAGAAAGAAGCTATCAATCATGTCAACACATTAGTACCACATCAATTTTATAGTTATAAACTCCAAAAATATTTTTTTTGTATTAAAGTGTATCTTTATTGGCTTTAAAGTTTATAATCTATACAGAATTTACAGGCAAGGACAAGGTGCCAGCTTGAACACTTGCCAGAGAAAGAGAAGAAAGGAGTGTACCATGGTCTTGACGGACCATATTGATAGCAGCAGAAGCTATCCAAGGCTCCTCCTCGTTTATGGCGCATCGCCAATGATACTTCCAAAGTGTACTGTAAGCAGCACCAAGAGCAATCAGAACATCCTCATCGATCACCAACAAATCTGAACCACTACAAAAGGTAGTCAGCGCCAACCAAATAGAAGAAGCAGAGGGGAGTAGCTCTTGAAGTGACAACAAAGAGACTACATCCTGCCAGAAAAATGACTTGACATGGCAACCCACCACGAAATGGTAAAGGTCCTCTGTAGAGAAACCGCAAAGAGCACAAGCAGGAGACAGAACTTTGGTAGGCATAATCTTATGGCACCACGAGCGGTGCGGGACACGGTCATGTAGCAATCGCCACCAAGGTGTGAAAGCCTTTGCAGGCAATTCCAGGGACCAGAAAAGACGCCACAAAGCAGGAGACAGCAACAAATGAGCAGGCAACTTCAAGGGAGGACCCATACGAGAGGTAATGGTACCCTTTGCAGGGTGCCAATACCTTCGCAAAGCACCAAGAGAGAGACGAGCAACCGGAGCAGCAGAACGAGACGAGTTGGAGACAGTCCAATGAGTACAATCTGGCATCCAAGAGGTAGCACCATCAGAACGGGGCATAGTAAAATAGTCTGCTTGAGACAAGACTATCTTACTATCCATGACAGGCGGGAATACCAGAGAGACAGGACCACGATCACGGTTCAAGGCAAGAAAAACAGGGCGCAAAACACGAGATGACCAAGCAAGATGAGAGGTGACACCATCAACTATACCTAGATCAGGTTGCCAGAAAGAGACATCCGACACCAAGAAACGAGGATCAAGAGATGATGGATCACGAGGAGGACGAACAGAAGGCACAGTACTGAGTACAGAACACAAGGGAAGATCAAGAAACCACCTAGCAGACCAACCAGAGGAAGGAACTAGCTTTGGCAATCTCAACAGAAGCTTTCCGAGATGTTTAGAACAGGCACAGAAGACACACGAGACTGGTAAAGACCAGGAAAACAAAACCACGGCAAGATGGACTTATGACCAGTGTAAACTTGAAAGGCATACACCAACCAAGAGGAGACAAAATCATTGGGAGAGGGTGGACGCAACAAACGTTGCAAATAGACAAGATGCAAAGCTAAGCTTTGATCTGCTATATCCACGAGACCAACACCACCAAATTTGCGGGAAGACACAAAGTAGACCAGGCAACACCAGGGCGAAAGACACCAGATACTCACGAACCACCGTAGTGAGAGACTTCAACCACGACGCAGTAGTAGCACCACCAGGAACAACACGCAACAAATGATATACCTTTGACAACAGTAACGAGTTAGCCACTAGTCCTGCTCCCCTAATGGAGAGATTCCTTTGTTTCAACAAGTTACTGTGTCGCTGGACCTTCACCAAGACACCATCAAGATAGTCTTGAAGTTGACTTTCAGTATGATACAAGGGATAACCCAAGTAACGTACTGCACCACGAGAGTGAGCGTCATGCCACTGGAGACCAGTAGAATCAGCCAAAGCAACCCAAGCAGAGTGTGACACACCAGACAACGACACCAACACTGTCTTGCTGATATTGACTTTCGCATTAGATGCTCGGCCATACAGATCAAGAACAGACAACAACACAGACCACTCTTCTGGCGAAGACAAAAACACCTCAAGATCATCCGCATAGCTCAGAATCTTGACAGGAGGAGGAGCAACAGAGCCACTAACAAAGTCCAAAGTCCAATTCCGGGCACCAGTACCATGATCCACACGAACTTCAACCGGTGAAGGCTTCCATTTACGTGGGATATCAACAGGAGACAGAGTAACACCAGAAAGACCAGGACAAGCAAGGAGAGAACGAAGCAAAGGCTCAAATGCCAGATTGAATAGCAATGGAGAGAGAGGATCACCTTGACGAAGACCTCGCAATTGAGGTACAGGAGCACCAAGCCAACCATTGATAGACACTGAAATCTTGGTTCCAAAGAACAAAGAAGACAGACAAGACACCAACTCACCAGGAAAACCAAACCGGAGCAACACACGACAAAGATATTCAGGATGAACCCGATCATACGCCTTCTCTTGATCCAACAAAACAGCCACTTGAGGTAAATCAGGAGCAACAACACGCAAGTGAGACATCAACAACTGATTTAACCAGCCATTGTCAGAGATCAGACGATGAGGGAGAAAACCAGTTTGATAAGGGTTGATTAACTTTGGCAACACTTTGTTCATACGATTAGCAATGAGCTTTGTAAATAACTTGGCATCACTGTTAATTAAGGACAAAGGTCTCCAGTTAACCAACAACTGAGGGTCACCCTTCTTGAACAATAAGACCATACGAGTTTGTTGCCACGAAGGAGGAAACACACCAGAAAAAGCTGCACCCAACACATCCACAAGCAAGTCAAGAAAATCAGTAGAAACACCAGCAAGATATTGATACAATTCAAAAGGCAAACCGTCAAGACCAGGACTTTTAGACTTGGGAGCATGAGTGAGCAAAGACAACAAAACATCGCGAGTTGGAAGTTCCATTAGCATATCACCATCCAAAGATGATAGACGTACATCAGTTGGAACATTCCCCAGGAGAGTATCGATAGCTTCAGCATCGACAGCATCAGGGGTATATAGCCTTTGGTAAAAACCTTGTGCCTCCCTGTTGATAGCTGCTGCTTCCACCAAGATATCCCAGTAGTAGAGCACTTTAAGGATTGAATTGTCTGTTGAGACTCTCGCACCTTGATCGAACGATAGAAATACTTGTTGCTACGTTCTCCCTGTTCTAACCAACGAGTGGCAGAGCGAAGCATATTCTGACTAGTCTCTTTCTGTATCTGATTCTCAATCAAAACTTCTAGTTGCCTGACCTGCTGCTCAGCATCACCTGTAGCAGTAGACACTCTGTCAGTTTGATCAATAGCATTCCTAGTCTCAACACCTGATACAGACGTTGACAGAGCCCTAATACGTTCCAGTTGAAGCGTAAAAACTTTGTTCTTGAATCGTGCTTTCATGCTTCTAGTGTACTTTTGTGCACAGCACTTTAGTAACAACTTGAAGGATTCCCATCTAGCCACCGTGCTTTCAGAGTCACCACTACTACCTTGACTAGTATTGACACCCTTAGACCCACCACCAACAGCACCAGAGAAGAACAATGACACCGTGGCATTCAACAACGCAACAAATTCCTTATCATCAAGCAGAGTTGGATTGAACCGCCAACTACCAGGACCAATACTAGCTGTCGCAGGCAACATTTCAACAGTCAAAAGAGAGTGATCCGTCCACCTACTAGGCATATATAGTAACTGACTATTAGTCAAACGAGGAGCAAGAGAAGAGTGACCAAAGATGTAATCAATACAAGTATTGCTCTTTGGAAACGTAGCTAAACCATCCGGATGACAATTGACAAAGTGAGTACGCAACCAGTGAACAAAAGGAGCGACATCGGCTTGACGAGAAGTAGACAAAGAGTGCAAGTGAATGTTGAAATCACCCATAACCATCCAAGGTGTGTTGAACACATCAGACCAAACAGAAAGAGAGAGAAAATCAGAGATAAATGAAGGACGGTCAAAAGACTGCGCGGGACCATAAATATTGGCCACTTTGCACAAAACATTGCTTGAGGCATCTACGACAGATGCAACAAGACAACGTTCATCCAACAATACCTCCGTATCCACCAAAGAAAACGAGAATTGAGACATATAATAGCACAGTGCTTGGACACAACGAGAGAACAATTAGGAAAAGCAAAAGAAAAGGAACGGACTTGAGATTCAGTGAGAGTAGATTGAGAGCGGAAATGAGATACCTCTTGCAAGCAAAGGATATCCAGATGGAGAGAGGAGGAGCGAAGATAAGATGAAAACTCTTTGAAATTTGTAGGATTAGACTGCATGAACAAGCTACGCGTGTTCAAGGAGCCAATCTTGATGCCTAATTTTGTACTCATTGAGCCCTACGGGCGTCTTGCTTAGTCTTGAGAGGCGCACGGCCATTAGTCTTGCTATTCTTGACAACACCAGAAACACCACCAGAAACACCACCAGAAACACCACCGGAAGCAACACCAGAAGCAACACCAGACTTGTTACCCTTAGCACCAGTACCAGAAGAAACACCACCAGAGTTACCCAGCTTGTTATCACCTTTTACACCAGCACCAGTAGTACCTTTCAGGTTTGCATTGAACTCCATTCTTTTGCGCTGAGCAAGATCCTTCAACTTGGTCAAATTCAACATCTCCTCAGGCGAGTCAATGTTCATATTCACAGCCACCTCAGCAGACGCATACTTGGAGTAGGCAGAACCACGCACGGTATCCAGCTTCTTGGGAGCTCCAGCAAGCACAATCTTGTCGTCCTCCATGTCCTCATCATCATTCATACTTACCTGGTGGTTATCTTCACTCAGAAGATCCAAATCCTCGTTACCAGTGGACTCATCATTTTCAGATTCGTCAACACTTTCACCCTGAAGAGATTCATCCTCGACTACACGATAATCGAGTTCTTCTTCTTCTACCTTCTCCACCTCCTTACCTACGCCTAATTTTTCCTTCTCAATATATTCCATCAATTCCACAGTGTTCTTACGAGCCAGAGTGACATCCTCAGAATCCTCAGAATGATGGTGAACTTTGTGCTTCTTGGTGAAATTTGCAGACTGAACCTCCTTTTCAGGGCAAAAACGCAACATGTGCCCTTGCTTATTGCACCTAAAGCAACGACGTCTAGCCAATTCAGGACATTTGGCGCGAACATGACCGCTGTGTTGACAGAAATGACAAACAGGTGGAGCACCTTGATAAGTCGCTGGCACAAAACAGTCAAATTCGCTCAGATAGAGCATTCTATCTAGGGGCTTGGCCTCCTGCCACTCATCCCCTACCTGAAATCCAACAGAAGTATCCAAAATCACCGAAAGTTTACCCTCAAAGTAACCACGGTGAGTAAACTTCTTCACTTGCAGTACCTTACCAAAGTACGACAAGGACTCCATAAGATCCGACAAAAAAGTGGTCTTGTCCACCATACGCATAAGTGTAAACCGCACATGCTTGACATCCCCAAATTCAGCACTTTCCTTGGAGGTAGACGCTTTGTACACTACACCTTGTACTGTCACCCCTTCACGCATAGCCACTTGTGCATGCTCCACCTGAGCAAACCTGGCTTCAATCAGCAGAGAACCATCAGCACGAGAATCATACAAACTAAGAGGTCGAAATTCCACGTCAGGTGAGATTTGATCTTGAATCACTTTGTAAGCGGCAACACGATCAGGAAACAAAGTTTTCTGAAACGTGAACAGAACAGAACCAGAAGAAAGGGATTGCTGAATAATCGCCATAGCCTTGCTTGCCAAAATTTGACCCTTCAGGTCATCATCTTCATAGAGAACAGTACCCACCAGTGGTACATCAGTTGGATTGTCCAATCGTCGCTTGTTGGGTTGGAGAAATCGACCCACCTTTTGACGTGAAGCTCTTTGAGCCCAAGTCAATTCAGATTGGGAAGACATGGAGTGTAACAGACGTAGAGTGTAACTTGTAATCTAGAGTGTAACTAAGTCCGCGTTGTTGAAAAAGTAGTGAAAAAGATGAATTCGACGAAAAATTGTTTGAATCAATCTGAAATCAAGATATGTTGTAGAGGCTGAAATGGATGTATCTAAATATACTTGGATGCAAGATGGATGTATCCTAGTTGTCGAGATATCGTTGTTCAAAGATGGCGTAATCGAAAACTTTTTAAAAAGTGATGAATACGCTTTTTTTTTTTTGTATTAAAGTGTATCTTTATTAGCTTAAATTTATAATCTATACAGTAATTACAGGCAAGGCCAAGGTGCCAGCTTGAACACTTGCCAAAGAAAGAGAAGAAAAGAGTGTACTATGGTCTTGACGGACCATGTTGATAGCAGCAGAAAGCTATCCAAGGCTCCTCGTCTATGACGCATCGCCAATGATACTTCCAAAGTGTACTGTAAGCAGCACCAAGAGCAATCAGAACATCCTCATCGATCACCAACAAATCCGAACCACTACAAAAGGTAGTCAGCGCCAACCAAATAGAAGAAGCAGAGGGGAGTAGCTCTTGAAGTGACAACAAAGAGACTACATCCTGCCAGAAAAATGACTTGACATGGCAACCCACCACGAAATGGTAAAGGTCTTCTGTAGCAAAACCACAAAGAGCACAAGCAGGAGACAGAACTTTTGTAGGCATAATCTTATGACACCACGAGCGGTGCGGGACACGGTCATGTAGCAATCGCCACCAAGGTGTGAAAGCCTTTGCAGGCATTTCCAGGGACCAGAAAAAGACGCCACAAAGCAGGAGACAGCAACAAATGGGCAGGCAACTTCAAGGGAGGACCCATACGAGAGGTAATGGTACCCTTTGCAGGGTGCCAATACCTTCGCAAAGCACCAAGAGAGAGACGAGCAACCGGAGCAGCAGAACGAGACGAGTTGGAGACAGTCCAATGTGTACAATCTGGCATCCAAGAGGTAGCACCATCAGAACGGGGCATAGCAAAATAGTCTGCTTGAGACAAGACTATCTTACTATCCATGACAGGCGGGAATACCAGAGAGACAGGACCACGATCACGGTTCAAGGCAAGAAAAACAGGGCGCAAAACACGAGATGACCAAGCAAGATGAGAGGTGACACCATCAACTATACCTAGATCAGGTTGCCAGAAAGAGACATCCGACACCAAGAAACGAGGATCAAGAGATGATGGATCACGAGGAGGACGAACAGAAGGCACAGTACTGAGTACAGAACACAAGGGAAGATCAAGAAACCACCTAGCAGACCAACCAGAGGAAGGAACTAGCTTTGGCAATCTCAACAGAAGCTTTCCAAGATGTGTTAGAGCAGGCACAGAAGACACACGAGACTGGTAAAGACCAGGAAAACAAAACCACGGCAAGATGGACTTATGACCAGTGTAAACTTGAAAAGCGTACACCAACCAAGAGGAGACAAAATCACTGGGAGAGGGTGGACGCAACAAACGTTGCAAATAGACAAGATGCAAAGCTAAGCTTTGATCTGCTATATCCACGAGACCAACACCACCAAACTTGCGGGGGAGACACAAAGTAGACCAAGCAACACCAGGGCGAAAGGACATCAGATACTCACGGACCACCGTAGTGAGAGACTTCAACCACGACGCAGTAGTAGCACCACCAGGAACAACACGCAACAAATGATATACCTTTGACAACAGTAACGAGTTAGCCACTAGTCCTGCTCCCCTAATGGAGAGATTCCTTTGTTTCAACAAGTTACTGTGTCGCTGGACCTTCACCAAGACACCATCAAGATAGTCTTGAAGTTGACTTTCAGTATGATACAAGGGAATAACCCAAGTAACGTACTGCACCACGAGAGTGAGCGTCATGCCACTGGAGACCAGTAGAATCAGCCAAAGCAACCCAAGCAGAGTGTGACACACCAGACAACGACACCAACACTGTCTTGCTGATATTGACTTTCGCATTAGATGCTCGGCCATACAGATCAAGAACAGACAACAGCACAGACCACTCTTCTGGCGAAGACAAAAACACCTCAAGATCATCCGCATAGCTCAGAATCTTGACAGGAGGAGGAGCAACAGAGCCACTAACAAAGTCCAAAGTCCAATTCCGGGCACCAGTACCATGATCCACACGAACTTCGACCGGTAAAGGCTTCCATTTACGTGGGATATCAACAGGAGACAGAGTAACACCAGAAAGACCAGGACAAGCAAGGGAGAGAAACGAAGCAAAGGCTCAAATGCCAGATTGAATAGCAATGGAGAGAGAGGATCACCTTGACGAAGACCTCGCAATTGAGGTACAGGAGCACCAAGCCAACCATTGATAGACACTGAAATCTTGGTTCCAAAGAACAAAGAAGACAGACAAGACACCAACTCACCAGGAAAACCAAACCGGAGCAACACACGACAAAGATATTCAGGATGAACCCGATCATACGCCTTCTCTTGATCCAACAAAACAGCAACTTGAGGTAAATCAGGAGCAACAACACGCAAGTGAGACATCAACAACTGATTTAACCAGCCATTGTCAGAGATCAGACGATGAGGGAGAAAACCAGTTTGATAAGGGTTGATTAACTTTGGCAACACTTTGTTCATACGATTAGCAATGAGCTTTGTAAATAACTTGGCATCACTGTTAATTAAGGACAAAGGTCTCCAGTTAACCAACAACTGAGGGTCACCCTTCTTGAACAATAAGACCATACGAGTTTGTTGCCACGAAGGAGGAAACACACCAGAAAAAGCTGCACCCAACACATCCACAAGCAAGTCAAGAAAAATCAGTTGAAACACCAGCAAGATATTGATACAATTCAAAAGGCAAACCGTCAAGACCAGGACTTTTAGACTTGGGAGCATGAGTGAGCAAAGACAACAAAACATCGCGAGTTGGAAGTTCCATTAGCATATCACCATCCAAGGATGATAGACGTACATCAGTTGGAACATTCCCCAGGAGAGTATCGATAGCTTCAGCATCGACAGCATCAGGGGTATATAGCCTTTGGTAAAAACCTTGTGCCTCCCTGTTGATAGCTGCTGCTTCCACCAAGATATCTCCAGTAGTAGAGCACTTTAAGGATTGAATTGTCTGTTGAGACTCTCGCACCTTGATCGAACGATAGAAATACTTGTTGCTACGTTCTCCCTGTTCTAACCAACGAGTGGCAGAGCGAAGCATATTCTGACTAGTCTCTTTCTGTATCTGATTCTCAATCAAAACTTCTAGTTGCCTGACCTGCTGCTCAGCATCACCTGTAGCAGTAGACACTCTGTCAGTTTGATCAATAGCATTCCTAGTCTCAACACCTGATACAGACGTTGACAGAGCCCTAATACGTTCCAGTTGAAGCGTAAAAACTTTGTTCTTGAATCGTGCTTTCATGCTTCTAGTGTACTTTTGTGCACAGCACTTTAGTAACAACTTGAAGGATTCCCATCTAGCCACCGTGCTTTCAGAGTCACCACTGCCACCTTGACTAGTATTGACACCCTTAGACCCACCACCAACAGCACCAGAGAAGAACAATGACACCGTGGCATTCAACAACGCAACAAATTCCTTATCATCAAGCAGAGTTGGATTGAACCGCCAACTACCAGGACCAATACTAGCTGTCGCAGGCAACATTTCAACAGTCAAAAGAGAGTGATCCGTCCACCTACTAGGCATATATAGTAACTGACTATTAGTCAAACGAGGAGCAAGAGAAGAGTGACCAAAGATGTAATCAATACAAGTATTGCTCTTTGGAAACGTAGCTAAACCATCCGGATGACAATTGACAAAGTGAGTACGCAACCAGTGAACAAAAGGAGCGACATCGGCTTGACGAGAAGTAGACAAAGAATGCAAGTGAATGTTGAAATCACCCATAACCATCCAAGGTGTGTTGAACACATCAGACCAAACAGAAAGAGAGAGAAAATCAGAGATAAATGAAGGACGGTCAAAAGACTGCGCGGGACCATAAATATTGGCCACTTTGCACAAAACATTGCTTGAGGCATCTACGACAGATGCAACAAGACAACGTTCATCCAACAATACCTCCGTATCCACCAAAGAATAACGAGAATTGAGACATATAATAGCACAGTGCTTGGACACAACGAGAGAACAATTAGGAAAAGCAAAAGAAAAGGAACGGACTTGAGATTCAGTGAGAGTAGATTGAGAGCGGAAATGAGATACCTCTTGCAAGCAAAGGATATCCAGATGGAGAGAGGAGGAGCGAAGATAAGATGAAAACTCTTTGAAATTTGTAGGATTAGACTGCATGAACAAGCTACGCGTGTTCAAGGAGCCAATCTTGATGCCTAATTTTGTACTCATTGAGCCCTACGGGCGTCTTGCTTAGTCTTGAGAGGCGCACGGCCATTAGTCTTGCTATTCTTGACAACACCAGAAACACCACCAGAAACACCACCAGAAACACCACCGGAAGCAACACCAGAAGCAACACCAGACTTGTTACCCTTAGCACCAGTACCAGAAGAAACACCACCAGAGTTATCCTGCTTGTTATCACCTTTTACACCAGCACCAGTAGTACCTTTCAGGTTTGCATTGAACTCCATTCTTTTGCGCTGAGCAAGATCCTTCAACTTGGTCAAATTCAACATCTCCTCAGGCGAGTCAATGTTCATATTCACAGCCACCTCAGCAGACGCATACTTGGAGTAGGCAGAACCACGCACGGTATCCAGCTTCTTGGGAGCTCCAGCAAGCACAATCTTGTCGTCCTCCATGTCCTCATCATCATTCATACTTACCTGGTGGTTATCTTCACTCAGAAGATCCAAATCCTCGTTACCAGTGGACTCATCATTTTCAGATTCGTCAACACTTTCACCCTGAAGAGATTCATCCTCGACTACACGATAATCGAGTTCTTCTTCTTCTACCTTCTCCACCTCCTTACCTACGCCTAATTTTTCCTTCTCAATATATTCCATCAATTCCACAGTGTTCTTACGAGCCAGAGTGACATCCTCAGAATCCTCAGAATGATGGTGAACTTTGTGCTTCTTGGTGAAATTTGCAGACTGAACCTCCTTTTCAGGGCAAAAACGCAACATGTGCCCTTGCTTATTGCACCTAAAGCAACGACGTCTAGCCAATTCAGGACATTTGGCGCGAACATGACCGCTGTGTTGACAGAAATGACAAACAGGTGGAGCACCTTGATAAGTCGCTGGCACAAAACAATCAAATTCGCTCAGATAGAGCATTCTATCTAGGGGCTTGGCCTCCTGCCACTCATCCCCTACCTGAAATCCAACAGAAGTATCCAAAATCACCGAAAGTTTACCCTCAAAGTAACCACGGTGAGTAAACTTCTTCACTTGCAGTACCTTACCAAAGTACGACAAGGACTCCATAAGATCCGACAAAAAAGTGGTCTTGTCCACCATACGCATAAGTGTAAACCGCACATGCTTGACATCCCCAAATTCAGCACTTTCCTTGGAGGTAGACGCTTTGTACACTACACCTTGTACAGTCACCCCTTCACGCATAGCCACTTGTGCATGCTCCACCTGAGCAAACCTGGCTTCAATCAGCAGAGAACCATCAGCACGAGAATCATACAAACTAAGAGGTCGAAATTCCACGTCAGGTGAGATTTGATCTTGAATCACTTTGTAAGCGGCAACACGATCAGGAAACAAAGTTTTCTGAAACGTGAACAGAACAGAACCAGAAGAAAGGGATTGCTGAATAATCGCCATAGCCTTGCTTGCCAAAATTTGACCCTTCAGGTCATCATCTTCATAGAGAACAATACCCACCAGTGGTACATCAGTTGGATTGTCCAATCGTCGCTTGTTGGGTTGGAGAAATCGACCCACCTTTTGACGTGAAGCTCTTTGAGCCCAAGTCAATTCAGATTGGGAAGACATGGAGTGTAACAGACGTAGAGTGTAACTTGTAATCTAGAGTGTAACTAAGTCGCGTTGTTGAAAAAGTAGTGAAAAAGATGAATTCGACGAAAAATTGTTGAATCGATCTGAAATCAAGATATGTTGTAGAGCTGAAATGGATGTATCTAAATATACTTGGATGCAAGATGGATGTATCCTAGTTGTCGAGATATCGTTGTTCAAAGATGGCGTAATCGAAAACTTTTTAAAAAGTGATGAATACGCGAAAGAGCTTCTGAATACGCTTTTTTTTTTTTTGTATTAAAGTGTATCTTTATTAGCTTTAAATTTATAATCTATACAGTAATTACAGGCAAGGCCAAGGTGCCAGCTTGAACACTTGCCAAAGAAAGAGAAGAAAAGAGTGTACTATGGTCTTGACGGACCATGTTGATAGCAGCAGAAGCTATCCAAGGCTCCTCGTCTATGACGCATCGCCAATGATACTTCCAAAGTGTACTGTAAGCAGCACCAAGAGCAATCAGAACATCCTCATCGATCACCAACAAATCCGAACCACTACAAAAGGTAGTCAGCGCCAACCAAATAGAAGAAGCAGAGGGGAGTAGCTCTTGAAGTGACAACAAAGAGACTACATCCTGCCAGAAAAATGACTTGACATGGCAACCCACCACGAAATGGTAAAGGTCCTCTGTAGCAAAACCACAAAGAGCACAAGCAGGAGACAGAACTTTTGTAGGCATAATCTTATGACACCACGAGCGGTGCGGGACACGGTCATGTAGCAATCGCCACCAAGGTGTGAAAGCCTTTGCAGGCATTTCCAGGGACCAGAAAAGACGCCACAAAGCAGGAGACAGCAACAAATGGGCAGGCAACTTCAAGGGAGGACCCATACGAGAGGTAATGGTACCCTTTGCAGGGTGCCAATACCTTCGCAAAGCACCAAGAGAGAGACGAGCAACCGGAGCAGCAGAACGAGACGAGTTGGAGACAGTCCAATGTGTACAATCTGGCATCCAAGAGGTAGCACCATCAGAACGGGGCATAGCAAAATAGTCTGCTTGAGACAAGACTATCTTACTATCCATGACAGGCGGGAATACCAGAGAGACAGGACCACGATCACGGTTCAAGGCAAGAAAAACAGGGCGCAAAACACGAGATGACCAAGCAAGATGAGAGGTGACACCATCAACTATACCTAGATCAGGTTGCCAGAAAGAGACATCCGACACCAAGAAACGAGGATCAAGAGATGATGGATCACGAGGAGGACGAACAGAAGGCACAGTACTGAGTACAGAACACAAGGGAAGATCAAGAAACCACCTAGCAGACCAACCAGAGGAAGGAACTAACTTTGGCAATCTCAACAGAAGCTTTCCAAGATGTGTTAGAGCAGGCACAGAAGACACACGAGACTGGTAAAGACCAGGAAAACAAAACCACGGCAAGATGGACTTATGACCAGTGTAAACTTGAAAAGCGTACACCAACCAAGAGGAGACAAAATCACTGGGAGAGGGTGGACGCAACAAACGTTGCAAATAGACAAGATGCAAAGCTAAGCTTTGATCTGCTATATCCACGAGACCAACACCACCAAACTTGCGGGGGAGACACAAAGTAGACCAAGCAACACCAGGGCGAAAGGACACCAGATACTCACGGACCACCGTAGTGAGAGACTTCAACCACGACGCAGTAGTAGCACCACCAGGAACAACACGCAACAAATGATATACCTTTGACAACAGTAACGAGTTAGCCACTAGTCCTGCTCCCCTAATGGAGAGATTCCTTTGTTTCAT